AAGCGAGCCTGGGTATGTTTCTGATTTGTGCAACTGTTTATTACCTATTCCTGAATCTCGATTATCGAGACGATCTTGCGCGGAGAAACGTGTATACTTCGTAAAGTTTCTCAAACCTGTTTTCCATTGTTTGCATTCTTTCGCATCGCGCTGACTACAATCGATAGTAATTGAGATCATGTTAATCCGGCAACTTTTTAAATGGGTGATTACATGAAAGTAGTACCATAGTCGATCATGTTTCGATATATAAAATCGCGATTAGCCATTATGCGGCTTCTTAAAATGAAACTCAATCGAATTGATGAATGGTCTACGGTAGCGAGTAGATATAGAAAGTGCAACTCTGTGTTTTAAGACTTTGTTTCTACAGTCGTAAAGTGTTTCAAGTAGTTTCGAACCAAGAGGATCATCGGTAGACAGATAGTACATGAGATGATGGGTGATCATGTCCCTGGGAACTGTTACATGAAGCTATATTTTCTCAATTATTGAATAGTATTAAAACTACACGTTGTGTCAGAACGTTTTGCTGCGTATAATGTGTAGGCTGCGTACTGCATTCTTCCCTTCTTTTTCTTATCCTTCACGTGTAGACAAGCCGTACCTCGCAGGATGTTGTGAAAGAATGTTTGCACGGTCACAATTTTTCCAACAAGTACTCTTACATCTGGAGCTCATGCACGTAAACACATTGTACAGTAATAAAATGTTACAAGTTTCGTAAATCATTTCATAATTTGACATGAAATTCTTTCTGTTCATTGAAGAGAGAATTACTAGTGTTGATCTACTGTTTTAAAACTGACTCTATTGTTTGAACTAAATTTTCGTATAAATTCATGTATAGTTGAAATTACCATAAATTAATAATTTGTCAGAAATAAAAAAAAGAACGTGATTACTTCTATGTTGCAGAATTTAATAAATATGTAATGCTGTTCATTTGAAGACTTACGTATAATTCTTACTTATAATCTTAACTGATTATTGGAATTTTCAAACAATGTTTTTATTAAAAATTTACAATTTTAAATCATGAACTAGGTAAGGTGAAAAAAAATATTACATATACTCTGCATGTTTTTAACATTAATTTGGATCTCTGATGTAAGTAGTAGCAGTTCTTTAAACGAAATCGCTTAGTCTGATTGAATTAAACGAAAATAAATGTGCCACAATACTTGTAAATTGGAAAGGAAATACGTCGTTAGTATATTTATTTCTCGTTCAATTTACGTAATATCGAAAGAATGTGATCAAGTTTCGCTGGTCCAGCATAAAGACAAAAACACGATTTCTTGTTTTGGAGAGAAGGTAAATGTACGCGCGGAACACGAATTAATAACACAGCAGTAAACAATTTACACACAATTAATTTTATTATTTTACACGGCGTAAACAAATGAGAAATCATGGTCAAGTCATCGAGGCATCTTATGGCCAGGGCAAAAGAGATCAAGGTATCGAGCACAATGGTTGGCAGCGAATTATTTCAAAATGCAGTGCACCATATAAGAATTCCTTGCACAATGTCATAAACGCATGAAACTTAATCTGAATACGAAGCGGTCCCATCTGTGTTCGACGCACGTCTCATTGCACCGCTTAATCATCAAAAGTCTATCGATACAAGTGTTAGAAAGGGTATACCATAATTCAGGTCTTATCTCTCACACGATTTCATTCATTAAAACGTTACATGTTTAACGTTTTAATACGTATTATCTTTTAAACGATACAAATTACAGATACGCAGCGACTGATGGATTCCGTGTTCACAGAAGACAGAAGTGTGTTTGCCTTCGTTTAATATTTTATTAAGAGTGTACTGCGTAATGTTTGAAAACGAAAAGTGGTAAATTCAGCTGTACATTTTTCTCCTTGGTAATGACGATGACTGATGTCATCATACCTCAAAGGCCTTTACTTGTACTCTTGATCGTTATTTCAAAGTTCAACAAAGGAGCTCATCGCACGAATTCGTGTTATACGCGTGCGACGATCTTTGATGTGTCAATGGTAGGTGGTCGAAAAATGGTGGGAGAAGTTGTCAAGTGGCCTCTCACACAGTGAGAGGTATAAGGAACTCGGATCGGGCCCAGATACGCTCAGTACACCTTTCGTTAAGCCGGCTCGTCTTCAAAGTGGCTGGCCCACATATCGCTATTACTTAGTTGTACTCGAGGCGAGTTATCGTTCGCGTCGACTGGCTCAGCTTTCCATCGAAACGCGTTCGATCGTACAAGTCATCGATACGAATTTTCGTCTTCAACAGTTTTCTTTCGTTCACTGGTGTTCGTTGAGTCTTCGATAATTTGTGGTGAGCATTGTTCCAAACCGAAGCTACCATGCCGCGTTTCGTAAACGTGCTACTTTTCTTAATACGTCTTATATTAACTTCTCATTGTTTAACGTGTTTTAAGTACTTATTGCTTCATAAGTTTTCAAATTAAGAGTATATTAAATTATATCCCATGATGTATCAGTAGATAATTGATAATTAGTCGGATTATCGGAAATTAATGATGTATGCATTGCATTTTTAAAGGAGTGTGCAAGAATTCATATGAAATAAGGATATACATATATGAAAGATTAAAATTCTATTCTATATCGTCCATTGAAATAATAAAATACTGTTCAAGAGTTAAACTGCACAAGATAGCAATTAACATTTTGTTGATCATTTTGCAATTCCTGTTCTCATTTTTTAAGTAAAACCGGTTCTAACATGCCTTTCTATTTTTATGTTCCTTTTCCATAGAGAGGCCCAAGGTTAAAATCCAATGACGGTTGCCATAGAAAGGGTAAGCGAAAAATTTGAAGAAAATTTATCATTCATATGTTTCATTACAATTTTTATTACATTGTCATTAAGTTTCGTTATCTCAGTTTTGAATTACTCGATTCAGAAAAATTCAAGTCAGGAAATAACGAAACTAAGAGATATCGATAAATCGTTGCAACAATTCAAAATTAAAAACTATTTTCTATCGCTGTTTATTCAGTCCTAATACTTCCCTAGAAGATTTACTCAAATACATATTAAATGAATGTATTTTTAATATTGAAATTTCCTATGAATATATAAAAATCCACAGTTTTTAGATTCAGTTGGTTTTTAAATTTAAATAGCGATTAAAGTCGAAGAAGCGTGAGCGGATATGCACGTATCTTCGGATATCGCCTGTCGTTCATCCGAACAGGCAATCTTTTTCGGTGCAGCACGCTGGCCTGCGTTTAAAGTGAAACCAGTTTAGCTTGTTTAGCGAAATAAGAAGAATCCGCAGGAATTAAACTTGTTACCTTACCGGAGGTTCGAATCGTTTAATAGCACCGTGCGTCGCGTCTGTTTAAAGAGGAAATTTCATCGTACCCGCGGGGGAAGCGTGTCATCATCTACTCGCCGACACTTCCCTCTCACTTCGTTCTTCTCCGATCAGGGTCAATGCCCATTGACATTGGTATATAGCAACATATCCTTCATATTTCAACCTGATGACGGAACAAAAACCAAATGGCAAAAAGATATAATTTAAGCTGTCAGTCTTGAGAAGTCCACGCAAATCTGTTTTTTTAATAGGTCGTAAAACCGGAACAGTCGAGAATTATGAGTACAAGATTTTAAGTAATATTTGAAGACTAACAGTTAGAAACGAAGCATTTAAGATCAAAGTAAAAATCACAGTTTAAATTCTAATATAAGAATCTAGCAGTTGTTCCAGAGGCTGACGAACAATCATTTAGTTTGATGAGTTTTACATAAAATGTATGTATTTATCTATTTTCATGTCAAAAGTGATGACAAGATCAATAAATTGAAGACTGTGCATAATATTATCTTCGTACACAGTATCTTCAATATCGTGGATTCCACAAGTTCACGTTCACGTTCAATTCACGTGTTTTCTTGAAGATCTATTTATTCCAATCTCTACGTGGAAGTTCAATTTTTTTCACGTGTCTCCTTTATTTTTACTTACACATCCGTCATCATTGACTTCGAATTGCATACTTCAAAAAAAGTATACGATCTAGTCATATTTCGTTATCGTAATCAATCAGACGTATTTACTTGATTTCCAATCTGCTGCTAATTTGCACGCTAGTTGTAATAATAATGTCTTTTTTTTTCAAGTGAATTTATTATTTTTTTGTATAAACTAATTACACATATTTATCTGTTTTATGTAGTTGTATGATAGGTGACAAAAAAGACAAGGTAATGAATTGCTATAACTTAATAACTACTTCACCTTCGGATCACGTTCATTCAATTATTTAAATATCTTGATGACACTGAAGTGCCTGCATTCTTAAACAGATCACATTTATGCTATTATAATAACGATAATTTTTTGTATCATTGAAATAATGAAGTTTTTTAAAATTAACGCAATTGATTAATTTATGTTGTTAGAAAATTGTTGCTCTTAATGAATTGTGTAAAATCGCGTGGAATAGCCTGCTCCCAGAATAATTAATTACACGGGACAAGGAATATCTAACAATTCGCTTGAACTTTTTTCATGGATACCTGCAAAGTTTTCCCACAAACGCCAATGGCAGGCGGCGTGTTTGCTGAAACGTAATATGCGCTTCTGGGAAGATTTTGTACGCGGAAATCTCTCGTCAATTCACTCATTCACCCGTTTTGCTTTCCATCAAACGCGTATTGATCGAGCATATTTGCTTTGAAGTCTCGCGCGGAACGTCGACGAAATTTTTACGATTCTTCGCAGAAAAATCGTCGGTTCGTCCCACAGCGGTCAAATACTTTTGACGCACGACTTAAATTTTTTTCTTTGTCCGCCGAGTATGTGGAAAAAAATTTCGCGTATTTATTGAAAAATTTTACCTGTGGAAAATATAGAAAATGTGTTCGATGTGCAAAAATCAAATGCATATTACCGTTTTTTAAGAGCAAGATTAATTATTATGTCATTTCCAGATTGACATTAAAAATGTTTAATTTTACATAAAAATCCGCAATCTAATAATTAAATCAATCATTAGTCGTATTTCCGCAGCAGTGCCAAAAAATTTGCAGATTCATTTGCATTGTATTCTATTGACCTGATTCGTTTGCTTTAAACTCTAGGCGCGTCGACGAAATTTTAACAATTCTATTGACCTATTTCTTTTACGGTCAAACACTTTTGACACGAGAGTCAGATTTTTTCATTGTCTTCCGAAAGTTCCGCGAAACGGAATTGATAATTCTTTCATTGTTCGTATTCCCGAAAATATTGAAAAATTCATTTGTAATCGAACAACTTAACATCTAAATCAATGCAGGCTAAGTGTTTGAATCTGCATACAATGGAAATAGAATTAATTATTGTCAACGGAATCGTCAGCGAATCGTGTGATGATTTTGTTACCATAATTTATAAACCGGTTTAACGCGTCGGCCGTGAAAATTTAATTTATTTCTCGGTTGTCAAACCAAAGTTCACGAGCCAGGCATGTATATTTACAGTACATGTTATCGGTATTCCCTTCATTCAATCTGCATTTAAACAGGGACTATGTCGCGACGATGTAAAATCATTTGTATAATTTTTGAACATTCATTCTCACCTGACACTACTTCCGACGTACAGCCATAATCTGGTTAAACGAATTTAAGAAGACAGTTTAGATGACGTTTGATCGAATCAAATGAGAAATTAGTATAATTCTGATGTAATACTTTTAAGCAGTTTCTATGGAAAGCGTGTCAGGAGGTCATCGGCTTCCGAATTATAATGCGAGAATGATCGCAGGAAGAATGATACGATTCGAATGGAACGCGACATGGAATTTCAATCATCTCCTTGTTATACTGTAATGTTACTTTTAACTGTTATTCTCGGACGTCATGGTTAGAATTCGCTGCCATGCATAAAGATACGTCCTCCTCCACAGATGAAAAATCCGTACGCGTATAAGAGAACTCTTTTTATACAATTTGCACAAATATTGTCACAAGCGACCGTAATCTTGTACGTCAGGAACAAATACTTTGGCAAACGCGTAAAACGAATATGGAAAGATGAGGGTAGTAATAAATTCTGTTCTAATAGCCTGTTCAAACTTCGATCTAAGCTTTATACTTGTCATTAGCTTATTCTAATAGGGAATTCCCCTCATAACTTTTATGTGTGATTAAATAATTAAAGTCCGGAAAATTTAGTGAATAAACAACATATGTATGGAAATACAACTTAGTATCTTGTTACATTTATGGAAAAACAACTTAGTATCTTGTTACATGTATGGAAAAACAACTTAGTGATTTCATGAAAATTTGAAAAAGATTCTAATGTGATTAGTTAGAATCATATATGCAAGTAATTAATCTACTAAAGATCTACTAAATGAATATTTCAATCATAACTTTAATTTATAATTTATCTAATTCAGTTAGAATTATGTTAAAGAGATCGAAATAAATCATTTAAGCAAACGATTAGTTGAGAGTCTAATTGTAAGAAAAAATTTTAATGTTAGCAACAATTCGATAACTGATTATCACCCATGAATG